AACACATCACAATTAAAGTTTCTCTGAGTACAAATTGTTCTGAGACAATGGGAGGTTTCAAAGTCAACCCCTTTTTCATATTCTCCAATTGGGAGTATGTACACCAATTTCCCAGTCGCACACCTCATCGGTCTCAAACCCATTTAATGAACAGTAAAAAAAAAGTAAAAAGTAAAGCTGTCCTTGTAACAGGCCATGGAGGCCCATAGGGTTGTGAGACGTTAAGGGTTCCACTTTATCTAGACAATCGGCTCAAAGATGGCGGTAAGGTTATCAGCCTTATGTGCTGGCCGCGCTTTACTTCCCAGGAAAAATATTTAATTAATTCCTGGTACTCATTTCTGTTAGAGACTGAGTCGACCCCAAGGCCACAGTGCGACTGGGAGGTTTAGGTCAATTGAAAAAAATCTAATGACCTCATTGGGACTTGAACCCGCGACCTTCCGTCTTCTAGCATAGTGCCCCCTCACCATTTAAAGCACAGTGGTTATTAAATGCACCACTTGTTTTAACAACAAAAACTGTTATTTCTGCCACATTGTATTTATGTGTCTCATAGGATCCTTACAGTAAACAGCAAATTGTTTACTTAAACAGCTTTAACTGGTTGGATTTATAACGGTGAAACTTGCTGTCTGTGAGGTGGGAACTGATTTTCGGTGAATGCTGCATGGCTGTCAGTTGCAGTCCTAAGGATTCCTTGAGTATCAAGAATATGCCATCCAGAAGAATGTTGCACACAAAAGGTCTAGAACTTAATATGGTATATAAGTTTATGTTAAGTATCAGTGGTATATGCAACGAGTTCTCTCTGCAATATGATATAGTTTGACATTCATGTAAACTGTGGTTGTAACTGTTTGGTAGGGATTAAAACAAATTCTCCTGACCACTTTTAGCCCCTGATAGATGAATATGGAGTACTGTGGAATGATAATTGGCAGGGGAAAACGCTTGGAAAGAAACCTGCCCCAGTGCCATTTTCTCCACCACAAATCCCACATGAACCTTCACACTGAGAACTCAGTCAGGACTTCCACACTTCAAAATTAAAAGTTCCATAAGGATCCTATGATGTGACTAGCAGGTTCGTCTGAAATTTTGGTATCTTATATTCCAGTAGACAGTGGGCCGTGCCATAGCTCAAGCGGTTAGTCGCTGGCTTCCCATCGCGGCGGCCCGGGTTCGATCTCGGGGTGTGGTCAAATGGGATTTGTGGTGGACAAAGTGGCACTGGGGCAGGTTTTCTCAGAGTACTTCGGTTTCCCCTGCCAATCTTCATTCCACCAACTGCTCCGCAATCACCCTCACCTATCATCTTGGGCTGGTACAATAGGCCAGAAGTGGCCGCAGTACAAGGGACTTAGTCCTGGGTTCCATCCCAGAGTAGTCCATCTGGGGTTTGTGGTGGACTAAGTGACACTGAGGCAAGATTTTCCCTAAACACTTTGGTTCACCACTGCCAGTTATCATTTGGACAATGTTGCTAGCTTTTTTGTTATCAGGAGCTGGTACAATAGGTCCATGCGATGCCATAGTGTTGTAGAAATGAATTTCAAAACACATAAAATTAGGTGAACATCATGCGAAGAGATAATTTGGTAGATCAAGAATTTTTTTTTTTTTGGAACTACAGCCCCAGTGGGCCTAGGCCTACCTCCATGAACTCCGTTCACTTCCGTTTTTCTAGATCTTACACATTCGGTAGGACTCCTTGGGTTGGTGATCAGCTCGTCACAAGGCCTCTACCTGTATACAAACACAGAAAAACGCACACACACAAACTAAATATCCATGCCCTGAGTGGGATTTGAAACCACAATCCCAGTTTCCAAGCGAGCGAAGACAGTACATGCCTTAGACCGCTCGGCTACCGTGACTGGCCCAGATCAAGACATTGGTCACAGAATATTAAAATGGATCTTCCAGATAATACCTGTGAAGATATTAACATGGATTTAATTTATTCAAAATAGTGGAGGACAGGATTTTGTGACAGTTGTAATGAATATTAATTGTTTGATCAGCAGCTCAACAAACACCTCAAAGCATGGACTTGGATAGGATAGTTGCCACCTCTGCCAGTGGAAACCCACAACACTCCACTTACCTCTGCAGTAATCTTGCAGCTCTTCACAAATGCTGCCAAACAGCACACTACCATTATTTCTTGAGAGCATATTGCCTCTGTTTTCAGGGAGTAGCATCTACCAGACCGCATGGTGTCTTAACCAGACCACAATATGAAGTGAATTATGGCTTACATTTTATGAGCTCAGCCCAGCTCAGCTTACCTGTTTTGTACTGTCATACTGTTGTCAGTTGGCATACTTGGGCACTACTCACAGTTTGCAGAACCTGCTCTGTAAGAAATCTGGCTGTGCTTGCAGACAATTTAAACACAATCATCATTCCAGCATCCAGAAACTCTACAGAACACAGTCTTCTCATCTCCCTGAGTATTTGCTTCTTATGATTTGTACCTTACTTTCTTTCATAAGTAAAATGGCAGGCTTCTGGAATAATGATGCCTTTTAAATGTTATTCCAACTGACTGATTTGCATAAACATCTGGTATGAATGTAAGATTTTAGGTTTCACGGTTTTTCGATGAGTTTTGTGGTCCTGTGTAAGCATCTGCGGGACCCACCTGGAACAAACTTTGCGATAATCCAGCTTCCCCACCATCGTTTCCAATGCATTACAGCTGATAATAAGCCATGCACATAGTTCCCTGGTCGTTATCTGCCGATCTGTATGGATGACCTGATCGAGGCGCTGTTCATTGTGAGGACTGGCAGCTGAGCAGGGATGCCCAGGGCGTGGCTTATCATGCACTTCACTTTCGCCAGTGTTGAAACGCACTACCCACTGCCTCACTGTGCTGACATCCACTGTATCGTCTCCGTACACCTTTAGCAAGCGTCGATGGATGTCAATGGGTGCAATTTGTTTGTCAGTGAGAAATTCAATAACACATCTCTGTTTCATATGCACCTCTATGTCAGACGCCATTTTGGCAGACTGCTCTGCTGTCACTATCTGTCACACGACAACCAAACTAACAGTACATTGACGGAAAGGTTCAACCTTTACTACAACACCACCAACATCCAGCACATATGTTACATATGAACACAAAAAATAAGGGGCATTATATACAGAATGCCTTTTGTAAAAGAACAAATGGAAGCTGTGTAAACATTTTCTGACAGCTTTCAATTCGACAGTGATAATGAATGGAACACTGAGCCTAGAAGTATGAAATTTTATATAACTGTTATTCTTGGTTTATTCAACAATGCTCAGACTATATAACACTGAATGACAGATAATAGAGGAATTGTAAACTGAAAATGATGGCCCAATTTGAAGTACTATCCTGGTATTTCTCTGGAGGGAGTGAAGAAAACTAATACATTGGTCTGTGAGATTTGAACCATGGCCTTCCAAATAAAGCAGTTGTACCACCCACTGAATCATAGAAATTTTAAGCAAAGCAGATTATAACCAGGGCAAAATCATGACATAAAGATAGCTACTAGATCCTTTGAAAATGTGGTACATTTCAAATATTTGGGAACAACAGTAACAAATCAGAATTTGATTCAGGAGGAAATTTAGAGGAGACTGAAGTCAGCTAATGCTTGCTACCATTCGGGCAAGAACCTTCTGTTTCCTTGTCTGCTGTCTAAAACAAAAAAATTGGAATATATAAAACTATAATTTTGCCTGTGGTTCTGTATGTGTGTGAAACTTGGTCTCTGACATGAAGGGAGGAACATAGTCTGAGGGTGTTGAGGATATTTGGACCAAAGAGAGATGAAGTGACAGGAGGTTAGAGAAAACTGCATATGAGGAGCTTCATAATTTATACTGTTCTCCAAGTATAATTAGTATGATCAAGTCAAGGAGGAGCTGGGCAAGGAATGTATGGCATGGATGGGGGAGAGGAGGAATGCATACAGGATACTGTTGGGAAAGCCAGAGGGAAAGAGACCACTAGGAAGACCAAAATGTAGGTGGGTGAACAATAATAAAATGTATCTTAGAGAGATACGATGGGATGGTATGGATTGGATTGACCTGGCTCAGGACAGGGACCAGTGGAGGGCTCTAGTGAACATGGTAATGAACCTTCGGGTTCCATAAAATGCTGGAAGTTCTTGAGTAGTGCACAATTGGTGGCTTCTCAAGAAGGGCTTAGCTCCATCAATGAGTGAGTGGTTGATTATAATCATTCCTACAAATTATGAAAGCATAAAATATTGTTTGTAAGTCAACAGTGGCAAATGTACAAATATTATGTTTCTGGACATTAGCCATCATTCTGTCGTTCTCTAAAAACACTGTCGTGTTTATATTTGAAAACAAATGTGTCACCTGCCCACAACGCTGAGGTTATAAGTGACAAATTTAATGTAAACTGAATCTGTACTCAGAAACAGTTCTTCAAAAATCAGAAATGAAGACAACAATAATGATAATGGCAACAACATGCAACATATTTACAATTACACCATAAAAGTGGGAGGGGGATTTCTGACCTGTAGGAGTTAATCCTACAACATATGAACCCAGTGTGCTAACCCAAGAGATAAACTGAATTTTAATGTTGGATTACAAACTATATTTAACATCAAGAACAGTAGATATGCAGCCCCAGAGAAGTCTGTGCAGTAAAGAAGTAGACTTCACAGCTTCCATCTTGAACTTTTCCTTTAATGCTACTGTACCCCACTTTTTCCTTCTATTGCTAGTGGGGTGGGACTAAGTCCCTTGTACTGCGGCCACTTCTGGCCTACTGTACCAGCCCCAGATGATAGGTGAGGGTGACTGTGGAGCAATTGGTGGAATGAAGATTGGCAGGGGAAACTGAAGTACTCGGAGAAAACCTGCACCAGCGCCACATTGTCCACCACAAATCCCACTTGACCAGACCCGGGATCGAACCCGGGCTGCGCAGTGGGAAGCCAGCAACTAACCACTTGAGCTATGGCACGGTCCCTGTACCCCACTTTCCATGATGCTTTTTTTTTTTTTCAGTTCCTTCTGCAGTGTTGCCTAAAATTAATTACTGATGACAATTATTATAGTGTTGTTCACTTCAAAAGTAGAAGGCCAATCAGGCCAACTGTCTGTCTCATGAAATGCATCTAGGTTGATGTTAATTTTGTGGGCCACTCTTGTGCTTTCAGAGGATGATGTGAGTCCATCGTGTTCTTCATAAATTTCAATTTTCTGAGTCCAGGGGATAAGAATGTTTTAAGAAATTGGCTTATGATAACCAGGATGTTATTCTGCATAACTACTGTTACATATAGACCCTTTGCTCATTAATAAGACACAAAAGTGCAGTCCTACATCTTACAGATGATAAGTTTCAACTGAATTCAAGTCCAGTGTCAGGGAAAGATGTGTGAGCTGTGAGCGAATCACAATCTTTCATTTTCAGTGTGTCTTCCTGCTCCTTATTATGCACTGTCTTCTCTTGCCACACTTACTCCACTCAACCCAATGCTCAGGTCTAAAACATCAGACAGCGTTCAAGCAAGCTTCGTGTTAATACAAATTCTACCTCTAAATGGTTCCTTCCCCCTAAATGTTGATCTGTATTTATCTCTGTGAAATGTAGGCCAAAAGCTACAAATATCCTGGTCACTGTGCCCAGTGAGCTCTGCTGCAGAGTCATCTGCCTGGTAAAGAAACCACACACATTTCTAAGATTAAAGAGCATTTACTTTTTTGAAATAACTGTGCACACAATTAATTATTATAAGACATGTGAAGTCAGCTAGACATTACAACTGGTCCTCAGAAAAGAGGCAGCACACATCTTCTTCTTCTTCTGCACCAACAACACTGTCAATCTGCGATATCCCTGCATTAGCCATAAGGTTGGATTGGTGTAGCGTGCACTGCAATTGCTCTAAGAATGGCGCAATGTTCACCTGCACAGTGTCGCGTCAATCTGGGACAGCCAGGGTAACATGATCTTGAGCTTGCGTCGATAGCTGGGGTCGCTGGCTACTGGGTTGTGCTCCAAGTAGACAGTGACTAGCTTCTTATTGCTGGTGAGATTCTGTACACTTGTCCAGTCACCCACCAAGTTATCATTAAGCTGCAACATACATTTCAACCTGCTTCTAGTACACTTTGGAGAAATGAAAAACAGAGTACTATCTCAACTTATGGTCAGACATCCGAAAGGTGAGGGACGTGACACAATATCGTTTGATAGATACACACCGTTTCAGAGGAACCTGTTCCTTCCATATTTAGGGTACAAGAGGTAGCCAAGAAAATATGAATAGTGTCATGCAGTAGGGGGGGCTGGAAAATGGGCTACAGGCAAATCAGTGAGAAACAGTGGCTCTGAAAAGGGTTGTTCCGTCTCCAGAGGAAAGGAAGAAGTGTAAACGACAGAAGGGAAAAAAGATTAAAAAAACAAGGAAAGATAAGGGGGAAAACTTACAAGGAAGGAAGAAGGAAAAAATGAGCAGGGAAAATGGAAAGTAAATGGGAGACAAAATTGAAAGATGCCTGACAGCAGTGCATATGTAGCACTTTTACGTTACAATTTCATTTACAAGAAATTCTGGTTGAGAAATCTAACAGGAAAATATGAATTTGGACATAGACTTAGACAGAAAGATAATATTAAATTGGATCTGGAGAAAATATCTGTGAGACAGTGAAATGGTTCTGTATTCAGATCCAGTGGAGGTCTTAAGAGATAAAAATGAGAGTGAACCTTTGCTTTCCATCGTGGCAAGTGGCGTCTTCATCAGTTAATCAATGTATAAAGCAGTTCAGGCTCAATGCAACACATTTTAAACTAATTTAAGAGTTCTGCTACTCATGTTTGCCCTGGCATCCCCACAACTGCACATGAGCACTATGGGGTGAAAGATTTTAACGCACAACTTGTAAGCCTAAGGCATCACACTTAGATTTCAACACGATTTAATGTTCCATCATTTTCATCATAAAATTATAGGTTGTGAATCATACCATATCAACTACTGGTGATGTGTGGCGATGGAGAAGGGCTAACATTTGTGCAGAGGAAGTCCAAAGTCCGGATGTGTGCTGATTCATACAGGATATGTAGTGATACTGTCAAACATTAACAAAAGGTCTTCTCACCCAAAACTCCTCCAGTTTGCTGAGGTGTTCAATATTCTCAATAACTCGGATCTTGTTGCTGGCCAGATCAAGGGTCGATATCTCCACATTTCTCTCCAGGCCCTCTATCTTTGTGAGTCCATTTTCAGACAGGTACAATTGGTCAAGCAGTGTCAGGCTGTCCAAGTTCTCAATTTTTGTCAGGCGATTACTCTGCAGACAGACACCAACTGACTGATTGACTAACTAACTGCATAGAGTCCTTTTTTAAGTGCTGGTAGCCAATCAAAAAAGAAATTCACAAGCCCACTACCGGACCCCACCTCTTTAGCTCCTGTCCCTCTTTTGCCTGGTCTTGCAGGTGATCTCTTCCTGCAGATTGTGTAACTCAAACTTTGCACCTCCTCATAAATGCTAAAGAAAATTCACTGTTTATAACTAGAGGTAACTATCAGCTTGCCCATGATAAAGACGAAGCCTAATTCTTAAGCTTGGCAGTGGATAGAGATGAGAGATCAGCTACATTTCCTGGCTGCTTCACCCCTGGGGAATGAGACCTCTGTACCTATATTGTAGGAGACTGGGTGAGGCCACAAAGCCAGTCTGGGCATTGTGAAAAAGAAAGCAACCTATTGCCCCTGCTGGGAATTGAACCCAGTTCCTTGGTCATCTGACCCACAGTCTAACTGTTATAATGGCTGAAGTATCCTCGCTCCCCATAATAAATAAGTCACATCGTTATTTCAATATAGGTTATATTACAAAAAAAAAAGGTGCAGAAAATGGGGACTTCTGGCAGACATACACAGCTCTGACATATAAACTGCAAGTGATGAAACTTACAAGTCTGTTCTCATCCAGACTGTACTGTAGGTGCGATTGACAGCAATGCCACCTACCTGAAGACTGAGCATCTCTAGCATCTTCAGTGAATCCAGGTTTTCAATTTTTGTGATCTTGTTTTTCCCAAGGTATAGGCATTTCAAGTTCTCAAGTCCTTCCAAGTTCTCAATAACCTGTAACAGTTGTAGGACCACAGAATGACAGCTCGTGACAGTGCGCTCAGTCCCACTAAAGGCCCAAACAGTTTCATGGTAATGGACGGTAGAGAGTGCAGTCTTCTGGGTTGCAAGACCACTGATTCAGAGGATCTTATCACTTCTGTCTTCAGAGTAAAAAAGTAAGCCTTAATGTCTGCTTCTGCTGGTTTCTTGCTTGGTTTACTCTTCAATCCTGAAGATGGAGGTGACGTGTTCCTCTGCAGTGCACAGAGTCGCAACTCAGAAGACCACACACTTCTTCACATTCGCTGCTATGAGGACCTCACATTCAGCACAGGGTTGCAAAGTGTTTACTGAAAGGTTAACAGCACAAGTGAGGTAACGAAATGTGTTCCACTTGCCCGTATCTTATTATCACCCAGCTCCAGCAGCGTCAGGTCCTTAAGATGGCACAGATTCTGAATATGCGAGATCTTGTTCGCACAGAGAAAGAGCTTCTTCAACTTGTGTAGTTGGTCCAGCCCCTTGATCTCACGCAGACGGTTGAATGACACATCCAGAATTCTACAACACAGGACTCAAACGTAATCCACATGACACACTAGAGTTGTGAAAATCCACTTACACAGATTAATATTAATTCCAGTGAACTGGTCATTTGTGACCCAACACAGTAAATAAAATCAGTCCTAAACTGACTTAATGTTAATTTGGTAGTAGAATTTCCTTTACCAGATGCAACAGACACATAGCTACTACATCACATGAAGGAAGGTTGGTATTGAGAGATATGAAACAACCTGAGGTCCACCCATCTATGCATGTCAGGGTTCACAGTGTGCTCACCTAGTCTAGAAATTCCCCCAAATCTTACGAAACCTCATGGTTCACTGTCATCATCACAAGCGTCTGCCAGTGGTGCCAGATGAATCCAGTCCAGATCCTTATACACCTTTTCTTCAAGATCCTTTTCAGTACTATTCTTCTATCTATGTATAGGTCTTCCAAACTAAAATTGTATATTTATTATCTCTAATTTATGCTACATGCCCTGTTTCTAATTCTCCTTGATGTGATCACTGTAATAATATTCCGTGAACAGTACAAATTAAGAAGCTCCCCATTATGAAATCCTCTCCAAGCTCCTCTTGCTGCTTCCTCCCTCTTAGGCCCAAATGTTCTCCTCAGCACCCTGCTCTTGTTCTGAGGTTTTCATGACCAATATCTAATGTTTAATTTGATGTGGCTGAACTCTGAAAGCCAAAATCACAGCCTCAATCTATCTCCTTGTCTTAATGTGGGAGACCAAAAGGTAGAATCATATTCTGTGTGCATATTTTAATCTTCATGTTTTTATCTAGCAGCTCAAACAAGAAAAGACTGTGAACCGAGTAGCAGAAAACATTCCCTGAATTTAATTTGGCATATGTTTTGTGTGTTTGGAGCCCATTGGACAGACAATGGCAGGTAACCTGCACCAGTTGTAAAGTTTCTCATTGCATGATATACTGCATTCACCACTAACTTCATCCCTTTTAAGTTAAAATACCTTCCTAACATTTTGTGTTCTCAGGAGCTGAGACAGCTCAGTTGGTACAGTGACCGATTATGCTATGGGCTGGACGACCGAGAACCGAGGAACTGTTCAATTCCTGGCAAGGGCAAGAGACTTTTCTTTCAATTTTTTCGCTTATTGGGGGGGGGGGGGGGGGGGAGTCCAGCTGGGTCCACTCGGCACGGTGGTCATTGATGTCTCTCCACAGTGCCCAGACTGGCTCTGTGACCCAACCAGCCTCCTGCCCACTGAGCAATGAGGGGCCTCTATCCCCAGGGGTAAAGCAGTTGGGGCATGAAGTTGATGAGTCATGTCCAGCTAGTGCTGAGGTTAAGAATGGTGGAGCTACACCTCCACCCCCCATATGTCTCCATGGCGTTGTGGTTAATGACTTAAGGAAAGGGATAGCTTTACCTTTCTTACCTGTAATGTATGCCCTTCCCTCAAAGAGGGCATGTTTCACAATCATAAAAACACAACAGAACAACATTTCTTGAACAGCAGCAAGCAATTATTTCTTTCCAATCTGCAGCCTTACCAGTTTCAGTTGCACTGCAAAATGTTTTACAAAAGTAAAAAGCTTACTCAAGATTCACAAGGCTGTCCAAGTTTTCTAGGGTGGTGATCTGGTTATCATACAGCTCCAGTTCTTTCAATGTCACCAGTGATTCTAGATTCTCTATCTTTTTGATCAGGTTCCAGCGAAAGTACAGGCGCTCCACCTTGGTGAGTGGTTCCAAATTTTCCAGCCGCCCTATCTTCTGGTGGTTCATGTCTAGTTCCTGGTTCATCACAGAACACAGTAACAGTGTGAAAATCTGCTGCAATTTAGCGCATGAGTGCCCAAGCCATAATAACTACTGTCTGACAGACTGGTACAGGTACTTTCACATACATTCCAATATATGTACACAGAGTTTACATGTGAATAAGTGAAGCTTTGAGTATCCTATATTAAAGGGACTTTGCATGCCCAGAAAATGATCAAATGTCTAAGCCTACAATGTGAGGTTAAACAATCAAAGTTCTGTGAGTTGGGTATGACACTCAAGCATGTCAAAATTCAAACAATGGATGTCAAATAACATGCAAATGATTCCTGATTACATTTATTAATATGTACAGGAAAAGAAGGCTGTTCTTTATTTGGCAACTCCTCAAAATTCAATCAGTTGACATTTTCTGTTGATACAGAAATTCAGGGATAAAGTTTAAATTCAGTAGTCTTCCAGGTTTCGTCAAAGAGTTAAAACTGTTAAAAATTGTACATTTTTGTTCGTATATATAATCATGTGCTTAAAGTATAATATTTGAACTAAACAAATTGAAAGAAAGGAGTGCACATATGAAGAGACATTTACCTGTGGGCCCTATAATAAAGATGAAGCTGTACAATGGTTACAAGCTTCAGTTGTCCTATTAGCAACTCATTTCATTAAAGGAGTTCATCAGTTTCAGTGATGACAACTAACCATTTATGTTTGGAAACAATTAGATTTATCATAGCACCATAGCTACACAGATATTTACGTACCTCAGTGTCTGGATCAACTATGATGATCTCTTTAGTTTTCTCTCCTTCATTTCCACCTGTAACACAGTTCTTTGTAAGCATTTCTTGTTCTAGCTCACACTACCACCTTCACATAGGTACATTTTCTTAAGCATTGACTCACGGTCATCTGTTTCTTCCATGCCAGGGCATGTTTCAATACTGACTGACGACTGCAGTCCTGGATTTGTCTCTTTAGTACTGACATCATCTGGAGGAGATTCTGCAAAACTCTCAGTAATAAATAATTACATTTGCATACATCTCAAATTTTGAGGAACTGAAATTTCACTTTAAATATAAAAGTACAATTTCAAATGTCATACATCTTGTGGTTCTAAACTTCAACAAGTTTTCCCTTCGGGAACCAAGAAATATAGGTTAGGGTTGCACAATTACTCAAAACAGAAATTCCGGGCCCGTGTTCTTAAACGTATGATATGAATTTCACTCGTTACCTGCCATTGTTGTGTAGTTATTCTACAAAGAATCACAGCTCACATTCATAAATTACGAGTCGATGAAAATCCAATCTAACTTACTAATTACTATCACCTCCTTCAATACAATACTGACGTTTCCGACCGTTTCCGACCATTTCCGACGCTTCCGACGAGTGTACCAAGCTCCAGATCTCCAAATTATCCCGCAAAGGGAATATTGAGAATTTCATGTAGGATAATGAGTAATTGGTGGCCATGTCACCCATGATTCCGTATTACATTCTGAGCGGTAACTTTGTGTCGTCATGTTTTAAGCTCTGTGCATTTTTCTTTCAGTATGTTTTAAGTAGCTTATCCATTTGTTTATTTTAAGGTAATAAAATAGTAGTTAATAATATACCACAATAGGAATCCATTCAGAAGAAAGTGTGACGTGTCGTATATTATGTTGCAACATCCAGGTCAGGTTATGTTTCTCAATAGCACGTTTTCGAGCGGTACTTTTTCGTAAGGTTGCCCATTTAAAATGAACCGGCCTCGCAAAGGTGTGTTCGATAAAGTAATGTATGACAGAATATCCAGGAAGTAAGCGAGGGCAATCAGTCGGCTAACTGTAATTACTTGTAACTTAGTGGAGGTGGTGTTCACTGCCATCAACACCACGGTCATTTCACGTGACAGCAGGATTTGTCATAGGAATACATTTAGAAGAATATACCCCAATAACAAAATACATTGCAGTAAATTGCATAAATAAGCTGTACACTGCAATTGAAACACGTTTTATATGAACTCAATGTACAAATTTTGAAACTATTTTCTGGGTTCTGACACTTAGCAGTCTGGCAGGTGGTTATATATATTTTGCATGATCATGTGATTCCATCAGTATTGAATTATTCAGTACACCTTATCTTAAGCAGAAACCTGGGTGTAGGGCAGTCAGTTTTTGTCATATTTGATAAGGCAGAGCAAAGGGTTAAACTGCTTCTTTTAGTACTCTCTTATTAGTGTATGTGTGTGATGTTTCAGGCCAGGCATGGAACAACCTGAAACTTCAGTACTGACAGAGAAACAGGAAAGATTTGCGCTGTCAGGCAAGAAGAATAAGAAGAGGGACAGACATGGCCACACTGTGATTGCTTCACCATATGATCCTTATTGGTTCGTATACTGTTGAATGATGTTTGGTCTTAAATTGTGGCTTCTGGCTGTTTGTTGGATACACATGGGTTCAAAATGATTTTGATGAAATTGTGTACACTCATTATTGAATTTTTGAGCAGTGCTTAATATTTGTCTGAATTCAGCACAGTGGGATTCAAATTTACATAAAGGCTTGGATATAAATTTGAGATATAATTCGGTAAATTTTTAATAATTTGAAAGGAAAGCTTCAGACATTTTCTTCATACAGTGAATTGAGACAGCAGCCATTGTGGGAGCTGGAAACAGATTCATACAGAAACATTTTTAGCCTATTGAAAACACTACCACTGCCCTCCCAATATATATGATGGGGTACCCAAAAGAAACTGAACTAATTTTTTTGTGGGCAGAGCTTTTGTAGTACCGCGTTTTGCCGCTATGAGCGCATAGAGCTAACATTCCTGAGTCGATAAGCCGACTACCGTTGCTTCAGAAGGTAAGGACTAGTTTCAGCAGAGTTTATAGTGACAACTGTTTTGTGTGATCGTCATTTTTGCAATGGCTGATTTTCGTGAACAGCGTGCGGCAGTGAAATTCTGCCTTTTGCTCGGGAAAAGTGGAACAGAAACTATTGAAATGTTAAAAACGGCGTACAAGG